GGGGCTTCCCTGGCAAGGCAGGTCTTTCTTTGACAGGTCCTGGTGTCCAGATGCTGAATGAGAGGCTTGCCCAGCCTTTTCAGCCTGAGCCCCTACATGCTGTGGAAACCTCTCCCCATTCTCCTCTGCCTGGCTCCATCCACCCCATCCTCCTTTCTTCCCTTCCCAGGAGGCCCAAGATTATGGATGTATCTTGCTTAGAACTTCCCTGCTGGCCTCTTTTCCCCACATCTTCCTCACCGAGAAGAGTGAAGAAGAACAGAAAGCTGTGGCCACTGCTGATGTAGAGACACCTTGGAGCTAATAAGTCTGGGTGTCTGCCCTGAAATCCTGGCCAACTCATTTCCACCATTGTCATGGCAACAGAGCTCTTGTTTATTGAGCTCTTGCTAGGGCCCAAGCACCTGCCAATGACACTCAGGAAAGTTCTAGAGTCCTGGGTCCCAAAAGTTGGGCCCTGACCTCCATGGTGAAGGACACTTTGTCCTGGACTGGGGGACCCCTGAAGCCTCCCTACCCAGTTAACAGCAACTCTCCCTCACTGAGGAGGCCCGGGCATTGGACTTCCTACCATGGGCACACCCTCTCATTGATCTGGCCCTGCTGACAGTGATGTTTTCAACTCCTCTTCTGGCTCAAGTGCCTCAGGCAGAAACTGTGACACCCTTCTGTCCCTGCTTGCTGGGTTGACCTGAGCTGTGTTCTGGGCCAAGGCAATGCCCTTGGTCATCCCGTGAGGGACACCATCTCCACCCTTCTGAGAAAGTCTGATGGCATGCGTGCCTCCTGCAAGGTCTGTGGGGACTGAACAGGCCCAGGCATGGAGTGACGACAGACTGCTTCATGCACTGGGGAGGTGGCCCAGTACCCCCAACCAGCTCCCTGCCCAGGGCCCTGGCATACCACAAAAGATTTCCAAAGTGGGGATAGGGAAGCCTTGGGCTTTGGCTTGTTTGCTCACAACGTCCCCATCCTGGGGACTCAGAGAAGAGCCCGGCATGCAAGGATTCAGAATACTGTTCTTCATTCAGTCTTCAGCATTAGCCCAATGCCAGGTCCAACCAAAGGGGACAATAAACCCTTAAGACCGCTTCCCTGCTCAGAACCAGGCTGTCACAGGACTGACACCAGCAAAGAGCTGTTGGCTCATGGATCCAATGAGTGCACGGAGCACTTTGCCATGCTCAGGTTTCAGAAAGACCTTCCCTAGACACCTCACCTGCAAGGCGACCCAGCTCAAGTGAGTAGGAAACTGTTTCTGCCCTGCGGCAGAGAAATAGGCCTGACCATGCTTTCCTCTGTGCCCACCTCCTGTTTGTTTTCTGCCCCCTCACTGCCTCTTCCTAGAACCACAATGCATCCAGATTCCCCAATTTCTCATGTTATTAGGCCCTTTCTCCATGTGGTGCCCACAACCTTGTGGGAGAGGGATTCAGCATGCAGGATGTGGAAGTTTGGATCCTCTAACATCTGTACAAGCCCACAGCAACAGTGAATGAACCTCAAGTCCAGCCTGGGCTTCATTTGCCTCCTCTGGCACCTTTTGCTTTACAATGTATTTATTTATTTTTATTTTTATTATTATTTTTCTTTTTCTTTTTTGGTTTTTTGAGATGGGTCTCACTATGTAGTTAAGACTGACCTAGAACTCACTAAGTAGCCCAGGCTGGTCTCGAACTCACAGCAATCCTCCTGCCTCAGCCTCCCAAGTACTAGGATTACAGGTGTGTGCCACCACACCTAGCTAAAATGTATTTACTTTTTACAGAGCAAGTAAGTCCATCACTTCTCAGCTTTTTGGCTAAGATCAAGTGGAGAGCAAGTAAGGCTGGTCTCCTCACCTACGTCACAGGCCCTGGGAGGGTGAGAAGGAATTCATTTCTTTGCTTTCTTGAGTCTGCTCCTGTTCTCCCTGTCTTGATGTAAACACAATCATGGATGGATCCTGTCAATGGGAGTAATTTTTGGGGTTTTTTGTTAGTAGAATTTCACCATTGCTTCTACACCTCCTACCTCTTATTAGCTACCACTTGTAAGCCAAGCAGCTCAAAAAACTTATTTTACCTTCCTTTTATTGGGCTTTTGTCATTAAGCTCAGTGTGTACCTACAGAGCCGAGTGAAGACAGCTTGACAAAGGCAAAATAAAAATAGCCAATTGGTCGATAGTAGAATTGGAAAATTTCTAAGGACAGAAGGGAGGGACTGAAGCTAAGGCCAGCTGATAAGAGGGCTGGGACTGCTCTTTGGCAGTGCTGGTGGCTCTTTCTGACTGGAGGAAATCAGAGAGGACCGTGGGTCAAAGATTCTATTTTTGTCCTGTCTTAGCTAGTACTTATCCTGAAGCTCCTGTTTTTTGTTGTTTCGTTTGTCTTTGAGACATGGTCTCCATGAGTACTTCAGGCTGGCCTTGAATTCACTATGCAGCTCAGGCTGGACTCGGACACACAGCAATCCTCCTGCCTCAGCCTCCTGAGTGCTGGGATTACTGGCACGTGTCATCATGCCTGGCCTAAATCTACTGTGTTTTACAACCTGGCCACAGCAGGGCTTGATGGCGCATGCCCGTAGTCTCAACGCTGGGGAGACTGAGGCAGGAGGATCATCACAAGTTCAAGGCTGGCTTGGTCTACATAGTGTGTTCAAGGCAGCCTGAGCTACACAAACCCTGTCTCAAAAAGCAAACAAAAAGTCGGGGGAGAACTGGGTAGCTGGACACTCTGACTATGAGTAAGGCTCCTATTTGCAAAGAGCTTCTTAGGCCTGCCATTTGCTAAACCCTAGACCCCTGCAGATAGTTTACTTACATCAGGGGTCTGTGGCCCTGCCTCCTTTCTCCACAACACTGTGTGACTGATTGTGCCTCTCTGACTAGGCTTTTTGTGACTGGTATTGATTGTTGCTTTTATTGGCAAAGAGCACACCACAATAAAAACACAAGTGTTGGTGCAGGGAGAGAATAGGGTGCTTTGTGTGCGTGTCCAGGGCTGGGAAAAGACTTGTTCAGGGGCCCGGTGGTCAGCTTGCCCGAGCCTTTGAGGCAGGGTTCCCCAGAAAGCAGTCATTTCAGGGCTGGGCCATCAGCCACACCCCTGCTCATTCCACATGCAACTGCTTCATCTGTCCAGTCATCACAATTTGGGGTTAGGAGTTTGGTTCCAGAACAGCAAGCAGCAGCAGCAGCCCCAGCAATTACGCTTACTACACAGCCCAAGAATATTCCCAGAGTTGTCCCATCATATTCAATATCTAGGCTAACGCTTTTAGCTATATTATCAAGCTGACTGCCATTTACAGATTTTTTTTTTTAAATGGGGCTAGAGATTGCAACGTACAAGATGAGGATTTATGCTTGGGTTCAATTTCTGCATCTGTACAATTGGAAATAATACATACCACTTTCTATCTAGGCTAACGCTTTTAGCTATATTATCAAGCTGACTGCCATTTACAGATTTTTTTTTTTAATGGGGCTAGAGATTGCAACGTACAAGATGAGGATTTATGCTTGCGTTCAATTTCTGCATCTGTACAATTGGAAATAATACATACCACTTTGGGTTGCTGATAGGATTAAATAAATATTACATATGTGTTTACTTGTTTATTGCCTATTTTCTGCTCTAGACTATAAACTCCAGCAGGCAAAGGCTTTGGCTTGTTCACTGCTCTCTCATCAGAGCCTGAAACCACTGCTGGGTACATAGCAGGTGTTCAATAAATTCTTGTGCCTAAACTGGTTTGGGGGCACACATCTGTAGCCCTGTAATCCCAGCTGCTTGGGAGGGTGAGGCAGGATTGCAAGTTTGAGGCCAGCCTGGGCAATTTAGAGATAATATCCCCCCCAAAAAAGGTACCCTTGCATCCGTTTTCCTACACGACTCATATCTTTCTTCTGTATGGCACCGTAGTACTCCATTGTGTATGTATATGGGCTTGACACCATAATGTTAAGTAAAATAAATCAGACACATAAGCTTAAATATCACATGGTATAAACAGAAGAGTATAAACAAAGCATAAACAAAGAGCAAAATAAAAGATAATAGGAAGTAGGGAATAGATCTTTTGCAAGTGGGAAGAGGATCAAGAGATGGAGGGAGGAGAAAGGAAGGGGATTTGAAAAAGAACAAAGATGTGTTATGTACGTGTACCAACTCCCCATGAGGAATCTAATCATTATGTACTGCAAACATGTACCAACGACAATAAAATTTTTAAAAGTAAAGAACGGTCCCTGGCCTCAAACTCCAGTAACCCAAAAAGCGAAATGAAACACTGGTGCCCACAGGGAAAGAACAGGAGATAAACCTAGGGCAGAGCCTGTCTCGTCTATACTCTTAGACTGCCAGATCTGCCTTACACCCCAGGCAGCCCCTAGCCAATAGGAGCTTCGAGCAAGGGCTGGAGGTGGGGGTCAATTTCTGGCTGGCGACAAGGTCAGCAAAATCCCCGGAGCTTCAATGCCAAGCCTAAGCCCTCAGGTTCCCTTTTTCTAAATCAGGAAATGATTTTTCTCGTTCGAGCTCAGCTGCAGAGACCTGGGGACGACCAGGAAGCAGTCCAGCGAGCACGGGAAGGCAAGGAGCCAGAAGACTGGGCAAAGGCGCGCCGGTTGCAGCAATGACAGGCGAGGATCCAAGAGGAACGCAAAAGTAGGCGGAGGGCTGGATTCACTCCACACGCACACCCACCCACCCGCGGCTCCCGCACTGTTCCACCTTAAGCGCCCAGATCTCCTTAAGGGCAGGCGCCTGAACCTCGCGCCTGGGGCGGGGCCTAGCATGCAAATGAGGG